TTCCTCATGCACTGGGGGAGCTGGGGGGGGAGGGCAACAGGTCAGGAGTGAGTGGCAGGGCTGGTGGGGGGTGGGGGGTGAATTGGGAATGACTGGCAACAACATTGGCAGGGGCAGGGCACCAGCATATCAGGGCTACTCAGCACCACAAAGCCACAGGGGGGAGACAGCCACATCTGGACCTGAATCCTGGTGAGTGAAGGGGAAAGGGGAAGCTCTGATTTTCCATAATAAAAAAAACCCAGAAGAATCAAATGTCATAATTTATATGTATTTTGAATTAATTTTATTATAATGATTGAGGCACTGGTAGGCCTCCAAATTGCTTTAAAATTGTAAATATATCAATAAAACAATGCGTTCAACTGATACTGATACACACACACACACACACACACACACACACACACACACAGAGTGACATTTCATTTTAATCACAGAAAAGCACAGATTTGGTGTTTTTAATAGAGAATTTGGGATTTTTATCAGATAATTTGTCACTTTAAAACAGAGAAAACCAGGATCCCTGCTAACAATTCATTTTCAAATTTTTTTCCAAGCTTTATTTTGTACTAGGCACTTACTACCAATGTGTTAATGATCACATTTAAAAAATAAAATAAAAATATCTATATCAATGTATGCTCAGAGAAAAAAGACAAAAATCTAACCTTTTTTTAAAAAGGTGGTTTGTTTTTTTTATGAGTTGCATTCACTTTTTCACCTCTAGTTCCTGCTCTGTATTTTGAATTACTAGAAAACAATTATCTTTTCCTTGAAAGTATGATAATTACTGCACCACAGGTGTCACCCCCAGATCTTGTGGCAGACTGGTTTCAATTAGAGGAATTTAAACATCCCATTACAAGCATTATTAATGTATTAAAAAAATACACATACTTTTTAGTAGTTTTTCAAACATCATTTTTCTCAATTGATGTAGAACTAGCCATGCCTTTTGTCCATGATGCACAATGAAGAGAGAAAAGCCATGCATGTCAAAGCTCCTGCTGTTTAGTATGTTCCTGCTTATTCCCATAGACATGAATAGTCCAGCCAAATGTGCAGCATAGGGAGCATGTGACAAACAGGATAATCAGACAAGTGCTGCTCAGACAAAGTTTCTATACCGCTCAGGAGTAGGGGTGGGGAGGGAGAAAGAGTTTTAAGTGCTATTTGAGTTAAGCATGGCTGTAGTATTTCTAATTTTCAACTATGACACAGCCATATTAAGTGAGTCCAATGGACTTTTGCATGGCAAAATACAGCTTACAAGCCAGATCCGACCTTCCAAGCAATTCCACCCAGTCCCTCCATAAGTCCTGACCCTCGCTGCACCTCTCCAAGTTGGTGTCTGCACGTGGGAGGTACGGCTCTGGTTGCTAAGTAACCACCCCCCACCCCAGCCTGGCCTGGTCCCCCCAGCCCCAAGCACAGGGGCACTAGAGACAAGAAACCTCTGCCTGGCCGAACTTGTGCCTGGCCACCCCGAGGCTGTTCCCAGCCTCCCTGCCTGCGAGCCTGGGAATGCAGGTGAGGGCCCCACCAAGCCAGGGCCAGGGACTCCCACTGCGGGAAGAAGGCAGGAACACGGGGAGCTGTGCACAAAGGGGCCAGGCTAGGCTGGCCCTGCTCACTGCCACCATGCACAGCTTCAGGGGCTCTCTGACTCCAGGGACTCCGAGGATTCCCCCCCAACACACACACACACACACACACACACACACACACACACACGCCACCCCCACCATATCCCCAAACAAACCCACACCCTCCCATAGCCCCTCCACACGCCCCCACCAACCAAATACCCCCCACCCACCATACCCACATCCCACCACACATAATATACAAGAGTAAGACTGTGTTTTAAGCTATTCTGCAATTGCCTCTAGATATACTAAGCAAACACACAAATCAGGACAGAATTTTTTTTTAAATAAAGTTAAAATAAATAATAGTAGAGGTTTGATTTTTTCAGTATACGATTTGTTGGGTTTTTTCTGGTTTCAAGATGGCAACCACCACTCCCAAAAGGAGTACTTTTCGGGTAAGGGGAGGGACTTCCAGTGGCAAAGGTCAAGGGCAGGATTTCTGGTCCCAAGATGGCAACCAAGGGGCAGGTCACCTGTCAAGGGGTGGGGCCACCTTTGCAGCCCTTGACAGCTCACCAAAACTCATTAAGCAGCCTTCCAGCCAAAATAATTGCCCACCCCTGTCTAAGAAGATATTTCTCTGAACATTTTGCTTTGATCAACAGGATGAGATGATACCAAAGGTTTGTGCTATCAAAAGCTTACAAGGCCGATTTGTTCCAGAGTGAGCACCTTAGTACTACTGCTTCTAAATTAGTGTTCCTTTCTCCTAATATTCAGGGAGGAGAATTTTGCAATACATGTTCATTTTCAAATGATGCAGTATACATCCCTGAATACTCCCACGTGGAGCGATAGCCTGCTGTCCATTCATCTAGCTAATCTGAAGTATTTCAGCCTGCTACAATGTGTGGAACCACTATTTCAATTTAAATTCGTGATTTCTACCAAATCACTGAACTGAGCAGGGCTTGTTACATTCCAATTGGCCTGCTCACACATTATGTTCTACTTAGGCTTTGAAATTGTAATGTTATAGATGAATACAGTTGGCGAACAAAAAAAGCCTTTTGTTGCTAGGCTCCACAAATGTGGCTTCAGTTACCAGTTGACTTAAGAACAATTGGGGGCTCTCCCCTCCCACATCAGAGAACAGCACTGACAATACCTCATGACTGGGAGTGATTGTCTCGGTTTTAATTGCTAGTTGTTTGGTTATTTAGATGCACTGTTTATACGGTATTATTCATCTAAATTGTGCTTGAACACAATGCTTTTAGCTCTCAACCCTGCTACAAAATAAAAACAGAACTGATCTAAAAAAATAAATAAATAAAAGGCACAAGTCAAGGTGTTCTTGCAGCATGTGGTCTTTAGCAAATATTGATGCAACCTGCTCTGTTAACTTGAAAAGTCTTTAAGCTATTCCAATAAAAGGCATTATCCACAAAAGGAATTAAGAATAAACAAACATTAAAAATAAATATCGCCAGAATGGAAAACACTACCCAGCACAAACCAGTTTTCTAATATTCATCTTAAAATGCTTTCATTAAGTTCTTATTTGATGCACATGAGTAAACTGACTCATGATTTGAGCTACGAAGTGTAAGAGTCACAAATAGAAGTGAAAAACTAGGAGGCTACAGGAACTAACATGTACATCAGGACAGCTCTCTCTTCTCACATCAGGAGTTTTACATTGTTTGTAAAAATGAGAACTCACCCAGATCTACACCTTTCAAACTGGTACAGGACCCCAAGCTGAAGTTAAAGACACACCTAGGACTTTACTGAAGCCAGGAATTCATCCCCAGTGTCTCATTAGGTGCCAACTAAAATTAGTGCCACAGCTAGGCATGAAAACCAGATTTTCTGTTTGTTACCACCCCTCTTCTGGATTTGATTTCATGCCTTTCAAGTCCAAAACTGCTCTAGTAAAAGTTACCCATCATTATACCCATCCCTCAATTATACATCCAGGCCTTGTTCCCAATGAAATTCATATGCATGCAACCCCATTAGAACATAGAACTACTTCTACATTTTCAACATGTGCTTTGCTTTAAACAGAAGACTCGAACCCCAAAAGTAAAGATAGTTATAGTATAAATAGCCCCTCTTAAGGACTCCCTCTCATTCAGCTCCAGTCTAGTGCTCTGTATTAAGCATTAATCAGAAAATGTTTCCTGCTTTGTTTGCAGAACTAGGATGAGATGCAAGTTCTTTAAGACTTGTACAAGCAA